GCAATAGAATAACGTTTCAAGTAAGTCTTTAGAGGTCTTATTTAAAGTGTTAGGACGTATTGAAGTGTTTTCATACTTACCTAAATAATTTTTAAACTGTCCATAATTTTTGTTATTTTATTGTCGAACAAATTAAAACTAATCCTTAAGAAGTTATGTACAAAAGATGGTTACAATCCGCTTACCCGTTTCAGAGATCCAGCAAACCCACAAACGTTACTCCAGCAGGATTTCGAATAACTTCGCAGCCGAAGAAAATACAAATACCAAATAAGTTGTAACATTTACCTAGTCCAGATAACTAATTATTTAGCTAAAATTTATTTCAATATTACAATTAAAAAAGAAAATGTCTGGCTGCGGTAACGTTTCAAACGTTACCCCAGCAGGAAATGTTTTTTTGAAATAACTAAAAAAGTTTAAATGAAACAAATTTGAAAATGTGCCTAACAATTACAGAAGGGGAGCAACTAATTATCTATAACGTTTAAATGACCATTTTCGACATTATTTTGCTGGGGTAACGCACACCGGTCAAAAATAATGGACCGTTTAAAAATTATTTAGGTAAGTATGAAAACACTTCAATACGTCCTAACACTTTAAATAAGACCTCTAAAGACTTACTTGAAACGTTATTCTATTGCTTGTAACTACCTTCAAATGTATACGAATTTTCGTAAGAATACTGTAAGTGACTAAAAAGTTATGATGAAATGTAGCTCTCCACGTTCACGATCACAATGAGTGCGGCCTTTTTTGGCCACCGATAAACCTGTGTGTGGATATATAAACTGAATGTTATGCCAATAATTAGTTGTTTAGTTCAGTTATCTACCTGTAGAATTTCAGCGTCGTACATATAATAATTTACGAGATAATTAAATAAAAGTCATTAGAAGGTGCAAGTCCGTGGTAATCCGACCATGTTTAGGTGGTTACAAAAAAGCGATCACCCAGTACATTGCGCTGTCTTTTAAAATGTTTAGTGTAATACACCTTACGATTTCGGTACAGTTGCGTACAGTGTTAAATACATTCAATATTTATTCATTATTATTACTAGACTTGCAACGAATATTCGGTTACTATTCGGTATTCGGCCTATTCGGCTGCTTTTATTATATTCGGACGAATACCGAATATCTACATATTATTCGGCCGAATACCGAATACTTAAATAATATATTTTGTCATTGAGAAATAATTGGTAAAATGAAAAATTAAAATCGATTGATTACGTATATATTCATATTTTCATTTCTGTTATAATCATTTAAGTAGTCATTGGTGCATAACACAGCTACATAATCATCTTCTGAATAGGAAAAATGGAGGATTCTATGTATTTGAATTATTGTGGTAATCAACATTTAGAAGGGTAAGGTTCTCATTTCTTTTATAATCATTTATTAAGTAGTCATTGGTACATAAAACAGGTACATAATTTAATTCACGTCTGTACAAGTTTTTGGCGCTAAAATCCAGCCGAATACTTTTGCCTAATATTCGGCTATTCGGTCAGGGGCCTCGCCGAATATTCGGTATTCGGTATACTGCCGAATATACTATTCGTTGCAAGTCTAATTATTACCTATTATTTATTTTGTTTTTTCCCTAATTGATCTTATGCACTTGTTTCTTTACTTAAAATTTATTTAGTCTTTTTTACTACCGGAGCTACAATCAACAGAAAATCTGCACTGGTCCGCTAAAATTATAAATATGTAGATACATGTATGAACGATTCACCTGACTGCAATAAAACGAAAATTTAAACCAATAAGAAATCGTTTCATTTCTTTGATTTTTTTTTGTAAAGAAATAACACTAAAGTAATTGTATTTTATTTTGGGGTGTATAGAGCTTAGACTTGAATGCATCAAAATATTTAAAGCAACAAGTCATCTACAATAAGTTAAAATAGACCGAATAGTAGAAGAATACAGTTGTAAATTAGAATGCATCAACATTGCATCGCCCAACAGTCGTATACCTCGTAAGAGTAGGTAATATTGTTCTGTGGTCTATACCTAGAACCGAGAATTATCTATACCTATGTACCTACCGTTAAGCGTTGAGCCCGTGACTGTTGATTTCTGTTAAAAACGAACAGTTGTTGAATGATATTTTGATATAATAACGGTAATTTAATTTATCGAGTGAAAGTGATACATTTTTATAGATAAAATTATTGGTCAGATAATATTTGACAATCAAGAATCGCTGATAATACATCCTTCGCTAGAACGCGGGAGGGGAGGGGCGAAGGGATACTTCATTGTTTGCCTTTTGCATCTAGTGCACTAAACTTGACCCTTAAGCAGATAATATACGTGTTGTAAAGTACGTGTGCGCTTCCTATTTTTGCAAATATTTATCGTATTCTTGAGAGTTCTTCAATATGTGTGTACCTAATTACTAATAATAGGCATTAATGCTAATTCGATTCAATTTAAGTAATTGTCAATTCTTGTCTTAGGATATTAATTACTAATGCTAATATTGAAATTTCGTTCAGGGTGAACAAATTAAAAACGATCATAACTTTTAGGTAGGTATATCACTTATTACTAATTTTACATAAATAATTTATTTTATTATAATTTAACTCACCGCGATTTTGTGATCAAATATTTTATTTTCTCCAACATTATTACAGAAATAATGCAATACAGAGTTTGTTCGCGATATGCTAGCCTAAGTCGATTCATCACTTAAAAAAATCCCCATCTATTCACAAAATACCTATTTACAACGCATACGTTACACTCTTCAAAACTTATCATTTCATTTCATATTTCTTAAATTACCTATACCTACCCTAAAATTAAACTTCAATTAACAAATACTACGCAGGTACTTATTCTATGAACAACTATAAACAATTCACCTAAACATTACGAGAAAACAAAAGCATTCAAAACAATACCTAATCTCCCGGCTGATTACTAATTATGCAATAAACAATCCTAAATAAAAAATATTTAAAAAACATGTAGTTTTTTGTAACACTTATGTACATATCCGTAGTAAACTTCCAAATAATATCCTACATATTTTAAAAGCCAGCACAATGTACTGGGTGATCGCTTTTTTGTAACCACCTAAACATGGTCGAGTTACCACGGTCTTGCACCTTCTAATGACTTTTATTTAAATATCTCGTAAATTATTATATGTACTACGCTGAAATTTTACAGGTAGACAACTGAACTAAACAACTAATTATTGGCATATCATTCAGTTTATATATCCACACACAGGTTTATCGGTGGCCAAAAAAGGTCGCACACATTGTGATCGTGAACGTGGAGAGCTACATTTCATCATAACTTTTTAGTCACTTACAGTATTCTTACGAAAATTCGTATACATTTGAAGGTAGTTACAAGCAATAGAATAACGTTTCGAGTAAGTCTTTAGAGGTCTTATTTAAAGTGTTAGGACGTATTGAAGTGTTTTCATACTTACCTAAATAATTTTTAAACGGTCCATTATTTTTATTATTTTATTGTCGAACAAATTAAAACTAATCCTTAAGAAGTTATGTACAAAAGATGGTTACAATCCGCTTACCCGTTTCAGAGATCCAGCAAACCAACAAACGTTACTCCAGCAGGATTTCGAATAACTTCGCAACCGAAGAAAATACAAATACCAAATAAGTTGTAACATTTACCTAGTCCAGATAACTAATTATCTAGCTAAAATTTATTTCAATATTACAATTAAAAAAGAAAATGTCTGGCTGCGGTAACGTTTCAAACGTTACTCCAGCAGGAAATGTTTTTTTGAAATAACTAAAAAAGTTTAAGTGAAACAAATTTAAAAATGTGCTTAACAATTACAGAAGGGGAGCAACTAATTATCTATAAAGTTTAAATGACCATTTTCGACATTATTTTGCTGGGGTAACGCACACCACACTACTTGCATCACTGTTGTACTGAATAATTATTATTTTCGTGTCTTTATGACGAAACTGGTTCTACCATCGTCAAGTAATTGTGTGATGAGTATGAACATTTGTTCTGTCATCATCATCATCAGCCTTTAATAGTCCACTGCTGGACATTAGCCTCTTCTTAGAAAGGAGGTTTGTCATTGTTCATTTGTTCTGTGCCGTATGTATTTATCCGTATGGTTACTGATAAAGAATACAGAGTGTCACCACCCCTATTCATCCCGTGGGTGTCGTAAGAGCCGACTAAGGGAGCAAACTATGCAGGACAACAGCACTGCATAAAGAAGGAAAACTCGAAACAAACCCTATAGCAGCCCGTCTGGCCAGCGTGGTTTAATAGGCCAAAACCGCATTTTTAAGGAGTATCCTATGTCCAACAGTGGACCATTAGAGGCTGTTCATGATGATATATTTAGAATTAAATATATGTGTATGTTTATCAGCAGTCTGGTTACCATAGTACAGGCTCGGCCTAGCTTGGGAACAGACGGCCGTGTGAAAGATATGCAAGGTTATTATAATTATTCTACGGCATGGAAGTTCGATGGTCTTCGCCATTTACATAAAAAGCGTTTGTAAAGCGGAGGAGGATCAAGGAAAAGAAGGAACTCGGGGGAAAAAAGGAAATATTTATTTTGCGCATAAAGCTAAGCTGCACGCCATAACTAAACACAAAATACAATCACAAAAAAAATATTAAAAGAACATAACATTAAGATAACATTTTAAAAAAGCTAAGTAAATAACAAAAAGAGCTGAACTTGACAGTGAAGTTTTGAGGAATCAAGTAATAACTTTATATTTGTAAGCAATAATTATGGTGGCGCCCTCTGTATTTAGTAATAATAAAAATAGTGCCTTTATTCTAAGTTACCATATTTACTTGTTAACATTTACAAGTAGGTACAATTAAAACGTAAAAAATTACAAAACAAATTTTGACAATATAAAGAACCAAACAAATCTTAAAAAAAAGAAATTCTTGTCTATGAAGCGGGAACTTCAAGCTGTGTCGTACGCCACAAGAATAACTTTACTGTTCGCCGACAATACTGTAAACAGATTGTATAAAATAAAACACATAAAAATGATAAAATGCTATTTATAAATTGATTTATTTTCAATATCACAAGGAGTGCTCGTATAGATTTGGAGCCATAAAGCTACGTGAGTGGATCACAAGTTTAAAAAAAAAGTGAGAGAACGATTTCTAAAGAGAAAATTTTACTTTTTGACTTTTAGTCTGTCGGCGAGAGAGCATGACAGGCCGGTGCCGTCAGGTTCCACGTTCAATTGAACGACCTTGCTGTCTTCGATGACCATTGAAAAGCGCTTGGACCGGAAACCACCGAGGGGAGGCAGGTTGACGCCGAGGTCCAAAGCCTTGATGAATACTCCACTGGGGTCTGCCAGCATTCGAATCTGTAAACATCAAAATTATTGAGATTATAAGATTGTTTATCGTTTTAAGTTCGTGTTCGTGAATGTTTGTTAAGTTCCCTGATGTATTACTAGTGCAGGAATTGTCTGTTAAAAAAATGACATACTGGAAAATTAAAAACGTTACATTGTAGCAGAGATGTACAATTTGTAACCCATACGTGTTAGATATAAGTAGAAAAATAGTGTGAAGTAAACGACTACATTTTACGAAATATCTATTTTATAAAATTCTTAAAATTTAAAAAAGTCGCGGTGTTTGCTACCAAACTTCTTCGAAACGGCTGGACCGATTTTTATGAAATTTTGTGTGCATATCGGGTAGGTCTGAGAATCGGCCAACATCTTTTTTTCATACCCCTAAATGATAAGGGTGACCCACCGCAATTTTTTTTTGTCATTTTTTTTATTACTATGATTTAGCATTGAAATATAATGTATATGGCAAAACAACGTTTGCCGGGTCAGCTAGTTCGTATATAGATATATATATATATATAAATTAAAAGTTGTGTTGACCGAATAATGGAATAGGGTTACAATCTAATCAGCAAAATTTATAATACAGTTAAGAGGTCTACGAGGTCAAGAAAGTTTGTCCGGAAAAAAAAACCAATAATATAATTATAATAGAATATATTATACATAGAATTATTGCTCCTGTCTGTACCAGTCGTATTTTTCGATCACATTTTGTCGCTGTTATTGAGTTATTTGGCGCCAAATTCACAATTCGGTAGTTGACTGTCAAATCAAATCAATTACTCTTTATTTATTGTCATTCTTCATCTTTGTTATTTAATTGGCATTAATAATAATAGATTTATTTGTCAGAATATTGTTGAGATATTATTATGTCTAACACCTGTATCTCAGGCACTGACATCCATAATATTCTGGTGTTTCCAGCGTACAAATATTTCAAGGAATTAAAGTTAAATTTACTGGAACAAAATTTTAAATTTAGTAGCGTTTTGACATCAAATGGACAGTTTTGTTAAAACCGTCCATTTGATGTCAAAACGCTACTTTCCATTGGAATTTATACGAAATAACAGTTTTTACGTCATACTTAGCTTACTTTTTTTAAGGTTTGCGTTGACATTTCAAACTGATAAGAAAATTGACAGTATTATGTTTTTTTTTAAATTCTCGTATGTTGTATACGATACTTTTTTTCATGAGAACCCATAATTTGAATAATACAATTTCTTTTTAATTCATATTGACTAGTGTATTACATATTTTCGTTAAGTAGTTTTATTAGTTACTTGACTATCATCATTATAATCAACCAGCCATTACTAGTCAACTGCTGGACATAGGCCTCTCATTAGGAAAGAGGTTTTGGCATAATATACTCGTACCACGCTGGCCACAGATAATAAATGGTAATCATTTAGAACGGCATTCACCTGAGAGGGATCCAGTTTATTTACGATTCGAGAAGTAATCGAAGGCCCTTATTAATAATAATATTGTTATTGTAACATTAAATTTCCGCCTTTCAAACTCCCCTTTACTTACTACGAGAGACCACTTTAAATACTTAGTTATTAAAAAGTAAATGGCACTGAACTCGGTGATTCACTGGTACCAATAACCTCAGTAAAATCATTTTCTTTTGTTTGCGAATAAAAACATTTATGAATTGTATTTATCATATTAATGTTGGTATTTCGGGGGATACTCAATTATTTTCAGACACAAAAAAGCCTTTTATTAGGCCACCTGCAGCGTCCCCTGACTGTTAACCCCCGTTTCCCAAAGGCAGTAGGGCGTAACTGAAATTATTTATTTATTGTGTACTAGCTTTTGCCGCCTCCGCCTGCGTAAATGTATGCTGCGATAACCGTATCGCGGTAAAAAGTAGCCCATGTCTTACCTCAAGAATCAAACTGTCTCCATACTAAATATCATCTAAATCAGTTTAGCGGTTATTGAATAACCATACAAACTTCCACCCCCCCTTTTCACCTCATTAAAGGATGATTTCTGGGATAAAAATAAAAACTATCCAATATCCTTTCCCGGGACTCTCAAACCAACTCTCAACTATCTCAATACCAAAACTTCATCGAAATCGGTTCAGCGGTTTAAGCGTGAAGAGGTAACAGACATACACACTTTCGCATTTATAATATTAGTAAGTATGGATCTAAAACGTTAGTTCACTATTCAACGCGTGGAACAAAGTTACATATGACAATGTTACCAAACGTGATTATGTACATACTTTTATAAAGCCTATCCTTAGAAAGGAGGTTTTGGCCTACTATACCACGCTGGCCAGACGGGTTGGTATAGGGTTTTTGTCAAGTTTACCTTCTCTCTGCAGTGCTGTTGTTCTGCGTAGTTTTTTGCCTTAGTCGGCTCGTACGACACCCACGGGATGAATAGGAGTGGTGACACTCTGTATTCTTAATCCTTCACCACACGGACCATAACTTATCGAAAATATAGGTCCAAAGTACAGAAAACTCGTTATGGTATGGTCATATTATTTTGTAACTTTCAGGTCAGTTCGTTATACCCTGCCGTACCTATAACCCTTTTGTTAGGAAGTTTTGCGTAACAGGGTTACGGAGAAAAACCTGGGGTACCTTCATACAGAACAAAATACATGTCTAAAGCATGAAAAAACTAAATCTTATACATAAAAAGTCAAAAGTTACGAGTTTGTTTGTCAAGAGCAGCGAGTGTTCGATACTAGTCGATAGTATCGCATGTGTTATTGCCATTTCCGATTTTATTTTTTATAAAGAAAGACACTCAATTGTATATAATTTTACGGTAATAAATGTGCAAATAAAAGTTTATCGATTGATATCAGGAGTTAAAACGATTTTTTATCCCTATTGCCTGTATGCTTTCAGATCTGTGTGCACAGATACAAATTAGCAGTCATACATACGAGGGGCCATCTACAAGTCGTAGATGACCCGGGGTCTTTTGGGGTACCAGGGATTTCCTTCCTAGGTTACACCTGGATCCCGTTACCCGAGACGGCGAGAGCTTTCTAGTCGGTTCGAGTCCGACATATCCATTCCACCACACCGGTCATCCGATTAATGATTAATGTAATTGGTTTATCGTCGCTATTGGACAGTCACTTAATTTCACATTCGCTGTAACTAATAATTGTTAATATAATTCTTTCGTTGCCTTTCACCGTGTGAGTGAGCTTACCGGAGCCCAAATTCCCCCCCCCCCCCCTTCCGCTGACTCAAGCGAGAGGGACTCCAAGGGCAACGCACTTGTGACTTTTGAGTTGCAGGTGTCCACCATCAGATGACCGTTTGCTCGTTTGCTACCTTATGCCATAAAAAAACGAATAGCGCTCGCTTCTTTTCATTTAATTTTGCTAAGTGTACTAATTTATTAGTAATACAAACCTACACTTTATATAAATCACTACCATTGTAACTTTTTGAAAAGTTCATCCAAGCATCATCAATCACCGAACTGATTAGATTCAGATTGCCCAGATACTGATTACCCATTTGCAAATTACTTGGTAATTTTGACCATTAAGTACAAACATTTTAAATAAGTTTTCCTACATAGAAATTAACGAAAGAGCGAGACAGGGACTAACTGAATTAATACTAAGGTATAGTAATGAAGAAAGTTTTAGGTATGAGAGTTGAAGGGTACAAGAGAAGAGGCAGATCGAAGAAGAGGTGGATGGACTGCGTCAGGGAGGATATGGCTAGGAAGGGAGTAAACAGTGAGATGACGCATGACAGAGTAGAATGGAAAAATCATACATACTGAATACATAGAAAATAGAAAAAGGTAGGCAGATGATGAGTAAATGGCGCTTGAAACAAACGGTATTTTAATTATATCATGCCGATATTATAAAGATTTTTGGCTTTATTATATTTAAACGACATCTATTATAATTGTAATACACAGAGTTATAACTGAGGAAGGTAATTGACTATATAAAATTGCGCTATGGCTATATCGTAATTGGCCTGGGCCTGAAATATAGATTTTCCTAGTTTAGGCTCCAGTCCATACCTAAAATATACTAAATATAAATTAGACACTATTAATCTGTATATATCTGTTTGTGGTGGTAAGTGTAAAAAAAAATGTATACATGAAATACCAAAAAATATGGCAGTTACATCCACGATTGTTAAAATTAGTTTGGTAGTTACATCCACGATTTTAACAATCGTGGATGTAACTACCAGGAATGGCTATTATAAACAAATATAATAGTATAATATTTAGCACGTGTCTGTCTGTATGTATGTATTAAGCCATGGGAGATACCATGACTACAGAAAACCGTTATAAGGCAATTCTTTCGTCGTTTCCACCAAATGTGTGAGGTTATAGGGGGCCTTAGCCTCCCACCCTCTTCTGAAACTACTTTAAACGTTTTTTAACCTGTTACGTAAACGTAAGTCATTATTTTATCACCGAAATTACATTTCTCAAAGAACGATCTAAACGAATACATAGCATAGACATTTCAGCACTGAATATAAATAGAAAGAGGCGAAACCTCAGAACCAACTGCTATCAACATTAATAATAATACTTGGCACAAAGAACAAAAACAATTTACTTCTACCCACCCTTACTAAAATTTCCGAAACTTTGAGGGAAAGTCTTACGATCGATTATAGGAAGGATGTTTAGTTGTCTATAGCAATATACCTCTTTCCTCCATACTCAAGATTAATAATGTCGTTAAATATGAACTTAGTCAATTAAACAAGTTAGATTGGATGGTAAACACTCGGCGATAACTTCACGGCGCTCAACTTTGAAACAATTACACGAATTTCGGTTTTCTATTTTATATGACATGACTGTTGGGTAATTGTGAACCTTAGGTAATTATAATATTTACTTTAAAAGAAAGAAAGTATATGGAACTATGCTTTTTCCTTGTATACAAACTTCAAAAATTATTCAATTAAAAGTCGATTCAATTCTCATCTCATCTGTAGTTTAGT